AAAAAAAAAAAAAAAAGAGCTTGACAGAAGTTGTGGGTGGGCAGCACATCTCCCAGGGCAGGACTTTACCCTCTCACTTCTGAGAGGAGGGCCTCGGGCCAACCTCCAGGAAATAGCCCTGTTCCATATGTGTCACAAATGGCTCAGGGAGCCCACCTGGGGTTACAAAGCAAGAGTGGAGTGTGTGTGTGTGTGTGTGTGCGTGCACGCACAAGTGTGGGTGTGTTGTTTCCACATGTAAACCAAATCATCTGCTTTCTTAACTGGAAACCTTCTACCTGTAACCTTGGTTGCTGAATCTCTCCTGTCCTCCTCAGCTCTCTTAGCAGCTTGCACCAGACATGTTGTCTGTGCTCTTCCCAGAACCTAACAGGCTTCTGCTCCTCTTCTGTCTCCAAGCCCCTGACAAATCCCAGCCCTGCTCAACCCCGGCAACCTGCTCTCTCCTGACCCGGGCAGCTGAACACGGCTGGAGAACACCACACTGCAAGGGAGCTGTTTATTTCCTGGGATGCTTCAGGCGCTGGCCTCATGGGCCCCCAACACTCACAAATGCCCCGCTGTATCTCAATTCCACGTGTCACACTTCCCAACAATTGTCCTCATGTCCTGACTGTCCACACACCTCAAATCCACGTCCACCTCTCACCTTTCTCAGCAGATGAGACACTAGCAAGAGACAGCTGAAGCCATCAGTTGTCTTAACTGCCTGTTGCCAAAGCCCCAGGCCTCCCGAGGGCTGTTTTGCCACAGCCTCCTCCCTCCGCAGCCAGTCCCCGGCTTACCTGCTCTGAGGTTCAGGCCACCCTCCTGCCCCCTCCATAGTCTCGTACCTTTGGCTTGTTGCTTCTCACTCTGGTGTTCCCAACAATTTCTTTCAACGCGTAAACACACGCAATGTCTTCTGTCTTTAAACTCCTCCCCCCCAAACATTTTCCTCCAGCTCCTGCCTGCTCTCTGTCCTCCTCTTACTGCCAGATGTCTCCAAAGCACTGTCCGAGCCATGCACCTGCCACTCACTCCTCTGCCCCCTGCCTGGCCCCTTGACATCCCTCCCTGAGGAGAGTTCAGGCCACGACTCCCTCCATGTTGCTCAGGGAGGATGTGTTCCTGTTCTTTCCTTATTGACCTCCCAGCAGCATTTCCTCAAATCACCCCAAACAGCATTTCCTAACCACAAAGTCCCCTTTCCCACCCCAGTTGAGAAATGTTTGAGTTGCTTAAAGCAGTCTTGTCCCCCAGTCTAAACCCAATCCTCAAGCACTCACGTCCACGCCTATGGCACGTCCTCAGCGCTTGGTGAATGTGCCTGCTCTCACTGTTCTGCGTTGACAACTGTCAAGTTCTTATCCCTAACACAGATCTCCCCTTGACCTCCAGACTTGTTTGTATATATTGAACTGCCTGTTTGACTTTTCTAGTTGGATATCTCAACTCAACTCAACAAGCTCATCCTGTCTGAAAATGGGGGGCATCATTCCTGCTGAGCCTGGTCCTGTTCCAGATCTACCTGACTTGGGGGAGCACCCCAGGCCATCCACTTGCCCCCACTGGAGACCTAGCTGTCCCCCTCCACACTCTCATCCTTGCCTCTCTCTCCCTGCCCTTCACTCTCTCTCAGCTCCTTACTGCCCGAGCTCCACATCACCCTGGTTTCCACCCGCCCTGCTGCTAGACTGGTCTATGCAAAGTGCAGGTCTGTCTTCTGCCCACCACCCCTGGCCCACAGTGTCTAAAACCCTACAGAGACTCTTTCTCTGAAAGTAAAGTAAAGAACAAAATCTACACAACAAAATTCACATGTGGCCTGGACCCTGCTCCCCCCACCCCCCTTTTCTCTCTGTGGTCCACCCCCCACGGCCTCCACGAAGCTCTCTGTGCCTTGCCCCCGCCCCACCCCGACACAGGCCTGTGTCTAGGCTGGTTTAGAAGCCACCTCTGCCTCCTCCCCCGTTCCCTTGAGTGACACCTACTCACTCTCCTCTCAGCTGAGGCTTCTCCCTGACTCCCAGACCTGCAGAGGAGTACTTTATCTATAGCTTCACGAACCATATTCTTTTCTTCCCAGAGCAAGGAGGGAAATACAAATGCACTGGTGGGGTAAAACTTGGATTCTGACTATTGCCCTGTCGGCCGCAGGGTTCAAGGGCAGGGCTGTGCCTGATCTGGAACCCAGCACAGGATTGCAGCTGTGCCTCTCTGGGCCCTTCCTGGACTTGACGCCGTGATGGCAAACCTTGTCAAGAAGGGCATGGGCGGCAGAGGTCAGAAAACATGTGGTACAGGTTCAAGCAGCCAGGACTTCCATTTTGTCCACTCGCTTAGGGTTAAAGTCTGCGCCCGCCCTCAGACACCACTGTGCTGTGCTGGGACAGGGTGGACTTTGGTGAGCTCAGATCCTCCATCCAACTTGGATTAGTTCCTTTTACTTTGCTCCAGCCGAAATCTTTTTTATTTCCATAAAGTTCTTGCTTTTAATAATATGTTACCAAATAACTAAATGTGTCTTACATGCATCAGGCAATTTTACAGAGAAGAGTCTGAGGCTTTCTTGTTGACACACAGGAAGAGCTGACCACTGCTGTCCTTCCTTGCAGATGAGTTCTTCAGTAGAGGCTGTGCCCCTGGGTCTAACCCGGACTCCCCTCTCTGTGCTCTGTGCGGCGGTGGCAGCAGCCCGGCACACATGTGTACCCCTAGCAGCCACGAGAGGTACTACGGCTCCAGTGGGGCTTTCAGGCAAGTGGTTTCTCTTTGCACCAACCCAGTGAACTTCTTGTTCTCTCTCTTTTTCTATCATCCCAGCAGTTGACTGCTACATTTAGAAAGAGCCAGCATTAGGAACCCAGAACTACTGCAAATTTCAAGTAGCCCCACTACTTGGACTCAAGTCCAGCATTCTCCTGCAGACCCAGATGACTCATTTTTAGGGCACAAGAATGATGGCTGCAGAGTCACAGGCATAGTCCTACATTTGCCACTTCATTCTGAGTGATTGTGGACAAGTCATGAAATTCATCAGAGGCTCTGTTTAAAGTCACAAGAGGGATACCAGGCACCTGCTTCTCGCACCTGGCTGATGAGTAGAATTTAATAATAATTAAATTCTGTGTGCTGCCCCTGCACAGAGTCTCTCGGGGAAAGCAGGACGATGAACACACAAAGAGAAGGCTGGACTCTTCCCAACTGTTAGTGCCACAGAGGAGCCGAGGGCAGTGATGTGGCAGTGACTGGCTTTGGAAATTTTAAAAGAGGTGGTCAGAGAAAGCCACCACTTTTATTTTCCTTCCTTCCTTCTTTCCCTCTCTTCCTTTGTTTTGAGACAGGATCTCACTCTCTTGCCTGGGCTGGAGTGCAGTGGCCTAATCGTAGTTCACTACAACCTCCAACTCCTGGACTCAAGTAAACCTCTCACCTCAGCCTCCCGAGTAGCTAGGACTACAGACATGTAACACCATGCGTGACTAATGTTTTTGTTTTTTTATAGAGACAGGGTCTCACTATGTTACCTAGGGCTGTCTGAACTCCTAGCCTCAAATAATCCTACCATGCCTGCCCTCCCTGGATTCCTATAATGGCCCCTTAATAGGTCCCCATGTACCTGTCTTATCCTCCTCCTCCCACCTACACACACATCAACCAGAGTGATTTTGTTAAAATATAAATCAGATTGGGCATGGCTGATCATGTCTATAATCCTAGCACTTTGGGATGCCAAGGCAGAGGATCATTTGAGGCTAGGAATTCAAGACCAGCCTGAGCAACACAGTGAGACTTCATCTCCAAAAAAAAAAAAAATTAAAAAAATGCAGGCCTACAGTACTAGCTCTTTGGGAGGCTGAGGCAGGAGGATTGCTTGAGCCTAGAAGTTTGAGGTTGCAGTGGGCTATGATCACACACACACACACATAGTGCCAAAAAATGTATACACATTTTAAGCAAGGAAAAATCTGTATCATATTATAATATTCAATATATACCAATAATGTTTGTTCTCTTATATATTATATCTTGTATCTCTTGTAACTGCAGAAGTCAAAAGTGACTTGGGTACAGTTTAAGTGTGAGAATGAAAAATAAGTAAGTGGAAGAGAATAGAGTTCCAAGAGAAATTCATGAACATACTGCAAATTGTAGACAATTTGCTCTATGATAAGGGTGACATTTCAGATTACTGGGAAAAGAATGAACTTCAGAGATTAAATAATATGTGTACTGAGAACTGGCCCCTGGATCTGGTGACCCTGGCAGGAACATGTTTAATAATGAATTAGTCCTTGACGCTAGACTGGCCAAAGTGAGTGAGGTTGACCCCTTCAAGGGGTGTGGGTGACAGGGGAAGAGAGGCCCTTCCTGTGGGGCCATGTGGGATCAAGGCAGGGCTAATTGGTGGGGGTTTTTTGTTTTTAAAGACAAGACATATAGATGCTGGTGAAAAGCATTCAGCGAACAAGAGAAGGTTACAATTACATGAGAGAAAGAGTATAACTACAGGAGAAAGTTGCTGGAAAGAGACATTTCCTCCTTTGTGCCTACATGGCAGGAGAGAGCCCTGGGGATGCGGGCAGGCAGATCTGGCAGAGAAGTGCTGAGAGAAAGCCCTGTAGTGATCTGTGTGTTCTCCAGGAAACAGGAGTACAGGTCAGGGTGCGTGAGTGTAGGGGAGGAGGGACATGGGGAGACAGAGGTTTTGTGGAAAGTGGGGAAACTTTTTGAAGTTACTGCTCTTCAGAGTGGGGAGGCAGCTGTCTGGAGCAGTGGCCCTCGTGTGTGAGCATGGGTCATCCTATCCTGGAGGGCTTGTTCAGGCACAGATGCCTGGGCCCTACCT